ATATATATAATATATATATATATTCGTATATATACAAATATATACACATACATATATTCACAAGCATAAGGATATATAATACATATATATATAAGTATATGTATTACATATATACGTATACAATGCATATACATATATGTGTATATTTTGTATAAATGTAGCCATACGTATACATGTACATATATAAATAAATATATATATTTATTTATTTATTTATAGATATATATTTATTTATTTATATATATAATTTATTGGTATAAGTCTGTGTATACAAAATACTATTTATAAGAATATCCCTTAAAATGTTGCTGCTGTGAATACGTGCTGCTGCTGTTGTTGTTGCTATTGCTGCTGCAGTGCTGCTGCTGCAGCACTGCAGCAGCAGCAGCAGCAGCAGCAGCAGCAGCAGCAAATAAAATGTTGTATAAATGCGAATGTCTTGGAGACAATCGCAAATCAATCGGAAATTAAATTTTTATTTAAATGTAAAAAAAGAGACACAAGAGAGGGAGATGCAGCAGCAGCTGCAGCAGCAGCAGCAATAGCAGCAGCAGCTGCTGCTGCAGCAGCAGCAGCAATAGCAGCAATAGCAGCAATAGTAGCAGCAGCAATGACAGAAGCAGCAGCAATAATAAGAGCTGCCTTCTTATTCAAATAAAATGGCGCTTTAGCTGCTGCTGCTTCTGCTGCTGCTGCTGCTGCTGGTGCTGCTGCTTCTGTTGCTGCTGTTGCTGCATATCTTGCTGCCTGTCTCCTTATATATATATTTATTTATTTGTCTGCATGCACTGTCTCCTTCTTCTTCTTCTTTTTTTTTGTCTCCTTTTTGCTGCTGCATTTACTTCTCTCTCTCTTGTGAATATTCTCTATAAATAAATATCTGCTGCTGCAGCAAGAATAGCTGCTGCAGCAAGAAGAACAGCTGCTGCGCTGCAGCAAGAAGAATAACTGCTGCAGCTGCTGCAGCTGCTGCAGCAAATAGCTGCTGCAGGAAAAAAGCTGCTGCAGTAATAAACTGCAGCAGCAAAAAAAAACTGCTGCAGCAAATAGCTGCTGCAGCAAAAAACTACTGCAGCAAAAGAAGCAGCAGCAGCAGCAAACAGCTGCTGCTGCAAGAAAAGCTGCTGTGTAGTGAAAAGCTGCTGCAAGTACAACTGCAGCAGCTGCTGCTGCAGCACATGCAGCAGCAGCTGCAGCAGCAGCAGCAGCAGCACAAGTTTAAACAAGAGACACAAAGGAGAGAGAGACACTCCCTCTCTCCTCCCCACAAAACAGCCATAAATAATGCACCTAGCAGCAGCAGGAACAGCAGCAGCCTGCTGCTGCTGTTCCTGCTGCTGTTACTGGTGCAGTTGCTGCTGCTGCTGCAGTTATGTGTCTGCTGCTGCTGCTGCAGCTGTTATTAATATCCCCACAATTCCTCCGAAGCAGCAAAGACATGCAAAAAAGCCCCATGAGGAAAAAGAGGGAGGAAGCCAATATATGCAGCAGCAGCAACAGCAGCAGCAGCAGCAGCAACAGGATCTACTACCCTGCTGCTGCTGCAGCTGCTGCTGTTGCTGTTTCTGCTGCTGCAGCATATGCATGCAATTATAGTTGACAAGACTCTTGATGTTGTGTATCCATTGCATGCGTTGCTGTTCCTGCTGCTGCACTTGCATCATCAGGACCAGAAGAAGCAGCAGAAGCAGCAGCAGCAGTATCTGCTGCTGCTGCTGCTGCAGCTGCTGCTGCTGCTGCTGCTGCTTGTTGTATAATAAAGGATTTATTATGTATATATGTATCTATTTCTTGCTCTTTTCTTACACGGAATTCAATCGCCTTTCCTCTTGCTGCTTGATGACTACCAAAGTCTGCATATATATACATATATACATATTTATTTATTTATTTATTTATTTATTTATTTATTTATTTATTTTATTTATTTATTTATTATATATATATATAAGTAATATATAAGGAGAATCCCTTTGTGTATTTTGTTACCAATTAACATACATATACATATATACATATACATATATAAATATATACATATATAATATATATAAATAATACATATAAATAATACATATAAATAATGTACATATAAATACGTATAAATATAAATATAAGTAGTGTATATACTTACCATGAAGGGAGAATACTTTTGTATATATTTTGCCAATTAGCTAACGTATACATATATACGTATATATACATATAATACATATAAATAATATATATAAATAATAGATATAAATAATGTACATATAAATAGGTATAAATATAAATATAAATATAAATAGTGTATATATATATATTTACCATGAAGGGATAATCCTTTAGTATGTATTTTACCATTCTCTTTCCAATTAGCTAACGTATACATATATGCGTATATATACATATAATACATATAAATAATATATATAAATAATACATATAAATAATGTACATATAAATGCGTATAAATATAAATATATTCTGTGTATATATATTTACCATGAAGGGAGAATCCTTTAGTATGTATTTTGCCATTCTCTTTCCAATTAGCTCGCCATAACTTTCTTCTTTTATCATAATAAACACCTTTACGTGCTATAAATGATAAACTTACTCCTCCCTCATCTACTATTATATGTGTTGTCTTACGTACTACCTTTTGCTGCTGTTGCTGCTGCTGTTGCTGCTGTTGCTGTTGCTGTTGCTGGGGAGGAGGGGGAGGAGGAGGAGGTGTTGTTGTTGGGTATGCATAAGAGGGAGGAGACGATCCCAACGATCCCATTGAACAATCTATAGACATAGATGTATCAATACAACCAACAACAACCATAGAGGGAGAAGAGGAAGAAGAGGAAGAAGAGGAAGAGGAAGAGGAAGAAGAGGAAGAAGAGGAAGAAGAGGAAGAGGAAGGAGGAGAAGAGGAGGAAGAGGAAGAAGAGGAAGAGGAAGGAGGAGAAGAGGAGGAAGAGGAGGAAGAGGAAGAAGAAGAGGAGGAAGAGGAGGAAGAGGAAGAAGAGCGAGGAGAAGAGGAGGAGGGGGAAGAAGAAGGACAAGAAGAGGAGGAAGAAGAAGAGGAGGAGGAGACAACTCCTCCTCTTGTCTTGGATAATAAATCTTCCTAAGACACACAGAAGCAGTAACAACAATTAACAGCAACACTCAGCAGCAGCACAGCAGCAGCAGCAGCACAGCAGCAGCAATAACACCAGTAGCTGCATCATCCTACCTGCTGCTTCTGACTTGTACTCGCCCTCCTTGTAGCAGCAGCAGCAGCTGAAGGACTTCCTGCTGCTGCTGCTGTTGCTGCTGTCTCCTGTCTCTCTCCCTTAACAGTAGCTGTACCCTCTCTTGGGGGCCTCCACCAACTATTGGTACCCAAGGGGGCCTCCCTTTGCTGCTGCGTGTTGTCTTCTGCAAAAGGGCCCACTTCCTTCTGCCATGGTGCAGCAGAAGCAGCAGCTGCAGGATACTGCTGCTGCTGCTGCTGTTGCTGCTGCTGTTGCTGCTGCGACGTCTTCTGCTGCTTCATATTCCCACGAGGAGATCTGCCATCAGGTAAGAAAAAGGCAGCATCTCCAGGTGCAGCAGCAGCAGCAGCTGCTGCTGCTGCAGCTGCTGCTGCTGCTGGCCCACTAAAGTATGGGGCCTTCCTGCGAGTAGCAGGTCCAGCGGCTGCAGAGACAAGCATCTGCTGCTGCTGCTGCTGTTGCTGTTGCTGCAGATGCTGCTGCTGCGCCTGCTGCTGATGATGATGATGATGCAGGGGCGGGTGGTGTAAATGCTGTTGCTGCTGCAACTGTTGCAGCACCAATTCCTGCTGCTGCTGCTGCTGCTGCTGCTGCTGGTCCCGCTGCTGCTGCTGCTCTTGGAACTGCCGAGATTGCAGCGCGCTGTGTTGAACCTTGAAGCATTGATTGCCACTTCCGCCGTGCTGCTGCTGCTGCTGCTGCAGCAGCAGCTGCTGCTGCAGCTGCAACTGCTGCTGCTGCTGCTGCTGCGCATGCATTTCTTCTTCTTCCTGCTGCTGCTGCTGCTCCCTTGTAGGGTTACAGAAATTTGAATGCCACGTCTGCAACCAAGGGGAGGAAGGAGAGTGGCAAAGGGTCCATTGGCTCCTCCCGTTGCTGCTGCTGCTGCTGCTGCAGCTGCTGCAGGGGTCTTCCTGCACTGCCTGCACCGTACACATTGGGGGAGGTGGGCTGCTGCAGCTCTGCTGCTGCTGGCTACTGCTGACGTCGCTGTGCATGCACTCGGGGGAGCCCGGGGAAGAACAGGGGGCCTCTAAGGGAGGGGAGGTTACCCCACTTGCTGCTGCTGCTGCTGCAGCAGCAGCAGCATTAGCAGCAGGATGCGGCACATGCGCATCAGCAGCACACAAATTACTGCTGCTGCTGCTGCTGCTGCTCCTGATGATATGTCTCCTTACTACATGCTGACATCCTGCTGCTAGGGCACCAAGGCCGAAAGCAGCAGCAGAGCCTGCATCCCAATGCTGCTCTGCTGCTGCTGCTGCATAGCAGCAGTCTTTCATTGAAAGTCCGCTGCTGCTGCTGCTGCTGCTGCTGCTGCTTACAACAGAAGCAGCAGATGTGGATGGGGGGGCCCCCTGATATCTATTATAGAGGGGATGCATGCTGCTGTGCCTGCAGCAGCAGCAGCAATTGCAGCTGCTGCAACTGCAGCAGCTGCAGCAGCTGCAGCAGTTGGAATTGTTGCTGCTGCTGCTGCTGTTGCAGCTGCAGCTGCTAGCGAGTGGCCTCTGTGGGCGCCTGCAGCAGCTGCTGCAGGTGCTGTTGCAGGTGCTGTTGCAGCTGCTGTTGCTGCTGTTGCTGCTGATGATAGAAAAAGTAGGCAAACTCGCTGCAGCTTCTGCTGCAGAATGGAGAAGGGGGCCCCCAGTACCCGTACCCTGGGGCCCCCTTAAGAACGGAAAGCGGCGAACTAGCTGCCGCTGTGGGGCCCCCCATTCAAGAGGTAGGTGGGCCCCTTGAAGGGTCTGAAGAGCAGCAGCAGGTCCTGCTGCTGCTGCTGCTGCAAGTGCGGGGGCCCCAACTGGAACCCCTCCTAGGGGCCCCCCATGGGCCCCTCCAAAGGACCCTGGTAGGGTCCCCCCTAGAGACCCTGGTAGAGTCGCATGTAGGGGCCCCCCAAAGGGCCCCCCAAGGGGCCCCCCACCTAGGGGCCCCTCATCATGTAGGGTATCTTCTTCTAAAGAAAGGGTCCTTGATGAATCATAAGGTTTATTAGATAAGGGAGAATATAAATAGGGTACTAAGGGAGTATATGAGGTGTCTATACAGCTGCGGCGTATATCTAGCTGCTGCAACAAAGAAGATAATAAGGGCGCATGCAGCCCCACAAATCCACCCGTACTACGGCTCCATACATGAGGAAGACAAGACCTATATGCATGCATGCATGCAGACAGACACACACACACACATATATACACATTATATTTGTTTATTTATTTATTTGTTTTTGTCTACAATACTATAATACTAATAATAATAATAATAATAATAATAATAATAATAATAATAATAATAGTAATTAGTAATAGTTGCTTAGAGTTTAGGGTTTAGGGTTTAGGGTTTAGGGTTTAGTACCGTAGAATATCTACTGTGTCTCTAGTGGCCTCTTCTTGTGCGGGTGTTCCCTGTTCTTGCTGCTGCTGCTGCTGCTCCTGCATATCTTGTTGTTGTTGCTGCTGCTGCTGCTCTTCTTCTTCTTCTTCTTCTTCTTCTTCTTCCTCCTCCTCCTCTTTCTCCCTCTGTTTCTCCTCCTCTTTCTGTTTATCCTCATCATCATCATTATGTGCCTCTTTGGGCTCAGTACCCTCTAGTACCCTATTCTCTCTAGGGGCCCCCTCCTCCTCCTCCTCCTCCTTCTCCTCCTTCTCCTTCTTCTCCTCCTCCCCTCCTTCTCCCCCTTTTTCTTCTTTAGGGCCCCCAATATATCCCCTCCCTATATATTGTTGTGTTGTCCTTTTTCTTCTTTTTCCTATTCTTTCCTTATTGCCTATATTTATTTCCTTATCCCTTATCCCTATACCCTTATTATCCCCTCCTTCCCCATCATGGTTCCCCTCCTCCCCATTTTTGGGGCCCCCAATTATGGGGCCCCCCATTTGGGGCCCCCCCATTTGTGGGCTCCCCATTTGGGTCCCCCCCATTTGGTTCCCCTCAATTTGGTGGCCCCCCATTTGGGGGCCCCCAATTTGGTGGCCCCCCATTTGGGAGCCCCCCATTTGGGGGCCCCCAATTTGGGGGCCCCCGATATGGGGGCCCCCTAGTACCCTTTTATTTCTCCATTCAATACATAAACGATCCCAATGAAAGAAGAAATTATCTTGGTATTGAGACCAACTAATAAATAATTTACGAATATATATTAATAATTCAAATGTTAATAACTCTGCATGCAATAATTCTGCTCCTCCTTCTGCTGCTCCTGCTGCACATCCTCCTCCTCCTCCTCCTCCTCCTGCTGCTGCTGCTGCTGCTGCTGATCCTACTGATGATGATGATGATGATGATGATGCTGGTTGTGATGGTGGAGGGGGGGGGGATGATGGTGTTATTGTTATTGATGGTGGTGGGGTTGCTGTTGCTGTTGTTATTGGTTGTTGTGTTTCTACTGCTGCTGCTGCTGTTGTTGCTGTTGCTGCTGCTGCTGCTGCTGCTGCTGTTGTTGTTGTGCATGCAGCAACATGGGGGGGGCCCTTTTGTTGCAATAAAACATCAGGGAATGTATCATCATTCTCCCCTGTAAGAGAAATACCACTACTGCTAACAGAGGTACTAGCTAGCAGCAAAGGGCCCCCTAATACATGCTGCTGCTGCTGCTGCTGCTGCTGTTGCTGCTGCTGCTGCTGCTGCTGCTGTTGTTGTTGTTGTTGGGGTTGGGGTTTCTGTTCGTCCTGCAGTTGCTGGTCATTAACAGCAGGAGATAAGGGCTCTAAGGGATCCAGGGGACATAAGGGTACTGGGGGCCCCCCTATACTGCAGGGGGCCCCCAAGGAGGATGGAGAATCGTCAGTAAAAAGGAGGCCCTCATCCTCCTCCTCGACATTATCGATATGCGCAGCAGCAGCAGCAGCTGCTGCTGCTGCTTCTGCTGCTGCTGTTGCAGATGCTGCAGCAACACACAAGGATGCACACATAACACATAATTCCAGAATGTGCATGCATATACAGATACATATAATATGCATGCAGACGCATGCATGCATCTATATGTGCATGCATGCATGCATGCACACATATTCATATAAATGTGTATACATATAGATATTGGGGTGTATAGGGAGGTAAAATATAATAAAAAGGGGATAAAAAGGGAGAAAAAAAGGGAAATAAGAAAGAAGAGGAAGAAGAAATAAATAAATATTTATTTATTTATTTATTTACTTTTATCTGTTGGTAATAAGGAAGAAAAGGGTATTTCTTGTATATGTAAATCAGGGGGAGAAGGAGAAGCACTGCAGCAATAAGGGGCCTCCTCTATAGATATATTATTAACCTCTTTATTATAACTCCTGCTGCTGCTGCTGCTGCTGCTGCTGTTGCTGCTGCTGGTGCTGCTGCTGTTGCTGGTGGTGATACAGCTGCTGCTGCTGCTGCTGAGGTCCATTGCTGCATTAGAGGCGCTGCTGCTAAGAGGAAAGACAGAAGAAGAAGAAAGCAAACAAACAGACTGCTCCCTTACATATGAACGTTATAAGGGCCCCAGCAGCAGCAGCAGCAGCAGCAGCAGCAGCAGCAGCAGCAGCAGCACTACACCACCACACCAGGCAGGACCAGCCCAGCCGCCCGCCGG